TTACTCAGCTACTAGTTTTCTTCGACGCATTCTCCGCAAAGGCCTCTTTTTTATATTTAAAATGCGCCAAGAAAAAATTTATCGACTTCTACAGACAAAGCGATCTAATTTAAATAGAGAACCAAAGTCGGTATGAAGTCGACCTTGTGCTTAGTTATTATATCTCATACAATGTATTATAAGCTTTTTCTCGATTACCATAAAGGCTAATAAGGCTTGCACGGTTCTCCTGTCAGGAATGCAGTCATTGATTCGAATTTGTCGCAGCTGTGTATGACGCGTAATGTATGTTCATAATTAAAATAGGATCGCGGAAGCTCGGATAAAGCTTTGGACTCCATTTTTACAAGTGCGTAGTAATTTGTTTTGCTTATCGAATGCTTAGAGCAAAGGTTAACGGTTGCGGTTATTTATTATATACGGTCGATTTCAATATTCAGTTTATAGATAGATTTGGTTACTAGCGATTGGTATTTGACGTCTACTTCATAATGATTACGTCAAAATTCTAATTTCCATCTCACGTAACCAAATATATCTGTAGATAGAATATTGAAACCGGTCGATAACCAGTCACCCAACAATTTAATTAACCCATCAACTAATTATGAAGAAAATGAAAAAAATCAAGCGAGTGGGATCCGTGAGTATTCTTGTGAATCCGTACACAGTAAATGTATTCAAAAGTTGTTTAAGCACGTTAAAAATCCGTAAAAAGAGACTTACCAAACCAGTGGTAGCGTTTTAACAATCAATAATGCTTCTATATTGAATAAATATATTTGAGAATTTTTGATTGATTGTAACGACCTGATTTTCGTAGTAGATTGAGAGGCTGTCTCTTGTTCCAAAGGGTGCGGTTCTCACCTCACTGTGTTGCTCACTTGTTTTCTAGTGTCTGGGTGGTTATATGTTTATAAAGTTTATAAAAAATATTTATAAGCCAGAAAAAGTTTGATGACTCCGTGGCGCCGTTGCCAAGGTATTGGCTTCGGCGTCGGGGGTCGTGGGTTCGATTCCCACACGGGACAACTATTTGTGCGACCCACAGATAGTTGTTTCGCATCTGGGTGTTTGTCCTCGTGCAATTTATGTTTGTAAAATGTTCTTACAACACAGGATAATTTTATCCTAAAGTGAGGGTAATGAGTATAATAAGTATAATTTAATAAAGTACAATTTAAAATTTTTTTTCAATTTTCAAATTAAATAAAGTATAATTTATAGTATTATTTACTCATAGTTCCAGACATTTCCAGAATTCATCGCTGACCTTACCTTTAAGACTTTTCAACCCATTGGAATGCTCTCAGCGTCACCTATGTCCGTTTACCCAGTCTGCGCGGTAGAATGAATTAGCTGGTTCCATGAGTCATACAAAGCAAAAAACCCATTTCCCCCATTTCCTCCCAAGCTTCCTGCATCGCATGACTAACAGCTACAAAATATATACACAAAACGGGCGAAACCTTTCAGCGTGTCGAGTCAAGGCCTTACATTCACCACCCGACGTCTACTCGGTCGTTTTCTTTGTAGATTTTATCGCAACCGCCGCTAGACATGCGATTTTACAATGATATACAGTTAACTCTGAATTATTATTTTGTTTTAATAAAGTAATCGTTCAATAACAGCACTTGATATAACAATATTAAGTATAATTACTCTCTTCATTCTTTCAATATAACATTTTTTAGAAATAACGAATTTATTGTGAAATTGTATCAAGGAAATAATTAATATGACGAACATTACTTTTGATTAATTTGCATAATTTACTCATTCTTTTACTTTAGGCAACTCCGTAAATCAGCGTTAATTGTGACATATTGAATCATTAATATAAATTTTGGACTATTATACTATATACGCTCAAAACCATAACCATGTTCTAGTGGTACTGGTATTTTGCTAACTTTACTTCCTGAAATGTATAATATCAGAATTTAATGGAGCACATTCGACAGGATTTGGATAGGAAGACTATTGCACCCGCCGTTTTCTATAAATACAACTCATTATTTGGGAATCTTAAAAAAATTGTCTAAATTTTATAAACTCCGTTGCCTTCATAAGTAACAATTACTTTGAAATAAATAATTAAATATATAAATAAATCAATAAATATTTACGACACAATTTTACACAACGTTCTCTAGTCCTAAACTAAGAAAAGCTTGTACTATGGGTACTAGATGACTGATAAACATACTTAAACATACTTTTCTTTTGTAAATAAATACATATTATAGATATATAAACACTCAGACACTAGAAAAACACTATGTTTATCACACAATATTTTTCCAGTAGTTTCACCCTCTGTCGCAGAAGGCAGGTACACTACCCACTGCGCCATTCGGGTCGTCACTTTAATTATTAGTTAATTAATAACTCTAAATAATTACTTTAATAATTATTTTAACGAGGTTACTTTTCTAATAACATTTACCTGTTCAACATTTTTAATTCTATACGCTAATATTCTAGTATTTTTAGGGTTCCATACCATTTTCATAAGGAAAAACGGGACCCTATTACTTAGACACCGCTGTATGTGTCTGTCTGTCTGTCCGTCGGTCACCAGTCTGTATACCATAAAGCGTGATTGTAAGAGAGTGGAATTTTTCTCAGATGACGTATTTCTGTTGCCGCTATACAAGTACTAAAAAAACAGAATAAAAAATATTTAAGTGGGGCTCCCATACAACAGACATGATTTTTTTGCCGTTTTTATAGATAATGGTACGGAATCCTTCGTGCGCGAATCCGCCTCGCACTTGGCCGTTTTTTACATATTGATAATTGATATTTGAAATAATTAAGAGATTTGTAATTTGTTTGTTGCGATCTTCCTAACTACGTTATTCCCGGTGATAATTCATTGACTGTTCATCAATCAACTGTAGGTTTTATTAAGGCAAAGGTCACGCTGAAATACCTATTCAAATTGTTTATTACTGAGGCAATAACTACTGCACTATAGGCCTTAGTAGTTAGCTAATAATAGTCACGTGTTTAAGGCATAGCGGCATGCGGCGACTAAACTTACCATTTGAAGATTTTAATGGATTATCAACTTAGTAAGTCGTGGTTTGGTTAGGAATTTTTATTACGAGGACGTATATGAAGATGTTAGTGGTTTATCAACTTCGTAAATCGTATTTTGTATCTTTCTGCCATGGCCAACGGTTTTGGAGTACTAATATGAGTTTTCGACAAAATTTCGTAGCTTTTATACCAACCACTATGGGCGAAGATGGGACTTGTAGCAAGATAAAGCTTTTTTTTAGAAATTTTAAATTTATTATAGTGCTAATCTCGGCACTTAAGATTAAACATTAAATTTGTAAAAAAGTACGAAAGTTGAGAAGACTTGGGTTCGATTCCCACAGCGGCGACAATTTTAACTTTTTCTACAAATTTTAAGGTAAAGCTTTATTATAAATTCTCAGATCACCCAGATCTCTCTCTAGAAGCAAATTATATGCACACAAATACTCACCCCTATCACCAGTAAGTGAGACGATTCTAAGATTTCACGACTATTGCAAATATATTTAGCCTCTTCCACATTTATTTATTTATTTTATACTTCATGCACACAAAATATGTGCAGAGGCTTAATGCCATCGGCATTATCTACCAGGCAACTTGTTCGTCCAATCTATCTTGTTCGTTACGGATTCTTTATACTCCGCCCTCAGTGTATCGCAACTCTTGAGTGTGAACACATTTTCACGTCAGCAATTTCGTGAATCTTTGAAATCATGACAAATCGCTTAAGCAATCTGAGTTCAATATCAATTTAATTGTTGCCGCTTGCTTTATTAACATTCACTTTAAGCAGTGCATATGAACTTTACCTTTCTGTTTAATATGAGAATATTTTATTTGCCCTGCCCTTAACCCACCTACTTGAGTCGGCACAACAAATGGATCACGTGGTTCGTGATATTGGCTACACAGTGCATACAAACTTTATTTTTCTACTAAATATAAGAATATTTTATTTCCCCTGCCCATATCCCACATACTTGGAGTCGGCATAACAAATGAATCACGTTCTTATCAATATTGGCTGAGTTCCTGCCGGACTTCAACTCTTCGTGGACATAATCGGACTGTTCTGTTGGTCATACCAATATTTAACGTGCGTGGGTTTGATCCCTACGCACGATAATACACCCACTACCATCTACGCCGCAGACAAAAAAGTCAGACAACTATTTATCCCCTGATATTGCGAATGTCAAAGGTTTTGATCTTGGACAGGGCGAGAAAAGTTAAAATGCTGCTCTGAAATTCAACCAAGTCATTAAATAAGTACACAGTTTATACTAATCCACAAGAGTTCAAATAAGAAGTGATGTCAAATTTTTAACGTACCGATTGGCGTAGTGGGTAGTGACGCTGCCTCTTGCGTCAGAGGCTGTAGGTTCGATCCCCTCTATTGGAAAAATGTTATGTGATGAACTTAGAGTTTTTCCAGTGTTTGGGGTGTTTATATATTTTTTTTATGTGAAAAGTTGCCAAACGAGCGGACGGTTCACCTGATGGTATGTGAATACCACCACACATGGACATCTGCTACACCCGAGGGTTAAAAATGCGTTGACAACCTTTTGAAAATTGGGCTCCAGCTACCTCACTCACCAAACGAAACGCGAAAGTATTTGTCATACTTCCACTTTACGTTGATCTTCTGTGATGTCGTGGTACTTACCCGGACGGGCCTGCCCAATCGTGCAACAGCCGAGGTTGCTGCGTGGCCCTGCCACGTATTTATTATATGGTTACAAAAGAAAAGTATGTTTATCAGTTATCCAGTACCATAGTGCATACGTTGCTAAGTTTGGGACTAGAAAACGTTGTGTAAAAATGTGTCCAGAAATATGTATTTATTTGTTTATTTTTACCCATTACACAAATGGCGTGTAACTGCAGATAACTATCACTTGGCCGAGCGTTACGCTGACCGACTCCTGCTGTTTCCGCAGACGATACTCGTGTGCGCGGCGTGGCTGGCGTGCGCGCAGTGCCAGCAGGGGCCCACGACGACACCGGTGCCGATTCTGAAGCAGATCAACAGGCAGAACGACGACGGGTCGTACAGCTACGGCTACGAGGCGGCGGACGGCTCGTTCAAGATCGAGACCAAGTACCCCAGCGGCGACGTCGCCGGCAAGTACGGATACGTCGACGAGAACGGGAAGCTGCGCGAGATATCCTACGGGGCCAGCAGCAAGCGGGGCTTCGAGCCGCAAGGTGGGCGCCTATGAGGTTTTTTTTTAATGGAGAAAAGGGGCAAACGAGGAGGGGGCTCGGCTGATGGTAAGTGATTACCGCCGCCCGTGGACACCTGCACACCCGAGGGCTCGCAAATGCGTTGCCGGCCTTTTAGGAAAGGTTTCGCACCCAAAGGGTGACGGGACCCTATTACTAAGACACCGCTGTCTGTCTGTCCGTCCGTCACCAGGCTGTATCTCGTTAACCGTAATAGTTAGACAGTTGAGCTTGAGAAATATCTTACGGCGGCGGCCACAAATGGGGCTTCGAGCCGCAAGGTGCTTTTTAGGGTTCCGCACCCAAAGGGTGAGACGGAACCCTATTACTAAGACTCCATTGTCTGTCTGTCTGTCACCAGGCTGTATCTCATGAACCGTGACAGTTAGACAGTTGAAATTTTCACAGGTGATGTTTTTCTGTTGCTATATAACAACTAATGCCAAAAAACTGAAAAAAAATATTTAAGTGGGGCTCCTATACAACAGACATGATTCTTTTGCCGTTTTTATAGACAATGGCACGGAACCCTTCGTGCGCGAGTTTCAGCCGATCATACCAAATGACCTTCAATTTTTTGGTTATTAACAAAACGCCTGCGACTTCTCTTAACTGTCCGTCTATCTCCCCCGTCGTTAAACAAAGCCGAGGAGTAGAAACGTCTTCCAAATGTACAGTTGATAACATTGTCTAATGCCCACTCCGCAATTACGTTTTCGTTCGAATTTGATGGCGGCGCAGTGGGAAAATGCCGTAACAACGTTACACTAAACGGCCTAGTTTCAGCGGTGGTAATGTTTGTTTACCGGTTAGGTAATCGACCCGAATGTGGTACAGCCGGTCAGTGTCATCGGGTAGGAGTGTTAAGAGAGCGAGTTTCGTAATTAAGCCGCGGGGACACCTTACGGCTTCCGTAGCGAGATCGTAAACTACTAATGATTGGCCACCCCACATTTTTACTAGCAATGGAGCAATATTGGATAAATAAGTGGTGAGAATAGGGTCCTTACGCCTATATTTTTTATAAAGAGTTTTAAGTAATCAAGTTATGATCTTTACTTATATTATAAACGCGAAAGTTTGTATGTATGGATGGATGTTAGTTACTCTTTCACGCAAATACTACTGAATGGATTTTAATGAAACTTTACAATAATATAGCTTATACATCAGAATAAGACATAGGCTAGAATTTCTATACATATTTTTATGTATATCTGTCTTTCTGTATGAACGTTACGTCTTCAGCATATTCTACGCAGACGTAGTCGCGGGCAGCAGCTAGTATGAGAAAAACTAGTATTCCCATATGTAAAGGATGTTCCTTTTTTACATTGCAAGTGTCCCCGCATTCCAGGTCAGGGCATCATGGTTCCGCCGCCGACCCTCAACGACCCGTCGAACGCGCTGACCGACGGCCAAGAGGACGACGGCCAGTACCGCGAGGACCCCAAGATCTACGAGGACCCGAAGTACAACGGCCGCGCGCAAAGCAGACCGGCGTCCAACTTCAGACAGTACCACCAGCCAGCGCAGCCAGCGCAGCCCGCGTATCAGCCGGAGCCGCAGTACCAGCCGGCGCAGTACAGACAGCCCGCTCCGGCGTACCAGCCAGCTAACCCAGCCCCCCAGCCCCAACCTTCGCAGTACCACCCGCAGCTCTTCAGCCAGCAATCGAACCTGTTCAGCCAAGCGCCGCAGCAATTCCCGCAAGAGCGCCCCCAAAGCCAGGTCTACCACCAGCAGCCGCAGTTCTCCTACCAGGCATACACGCCTCAACCCTACAGCCAGTACCAAAGCCAGAGCCCGCAGGCTTCTAATTACCAGCAAAGCTACCAACCGCAAAGCTACCAGCCGCAGAGCTATCAAGGCCAAAACTACAACCCCTTCTCTGGTCACCCAGCCCAGAACTTCGACCCAAGCTCCGGTTCTTACAGCATCAACTACACCGGGAAATAATTTCCATCCAAACGCTGAATAATAATTCTGCTTTTTGTATATAGAACCTATCGTATCCAAAGTGATAGTGCGAGAAATATTTTGTATTTTTGTATGTTTTAGAACTAGTCAATAGTTTTGCAGCGATGCGACTTTTGTAGCTACCGAAAATTACCCTGAAGTTTGAGCTTTTTTATGTTTAACTTAAATTATTTATGCGTAAGATTCACACACTCATATACCCATCAGATATGTTTTAAAAGTAACCTTGGTATTAGTCATTTGCATTATGAAAATATTGATATTCATATATCTATATTTATTTATGTTGTATTCATTATTTATGTACATTATTTATATATGTATGAATTCATGAAATTGAAACATTTAATTTCAAAACGAATCTATTGTAATGTAACATTTCTAAGCGTATGTATATAAATATATCATTTAAATGTATTAAAATAAAATATTAGCATATGCTCCAATACATATTAAATACATGTATAATAATAGAGGAATTAATTCTGTATGTTTTTTTAATATTTATTAGTTGCATCGATGTCACATAATTTGGCGGAAGCGATTGAAACAATTAGATCAGGCGTCGTGCATGCGCCGCATCTAAAATGGCCGATTGATTCAAAATGGCCGTCGTATTGTCGGCACATGGTCTGTTTACAGAGTGTGAATTTCGTTTAATAAAACCTTATTACATAAACGAGCACTTTTGTTTTCTTTTCCTGTTGTGAAGGCTGGCAATATTCGACTTTTTAATCAATATATTACAAATCAAGTCGAATTCATCAAACGAATTTTGTTAAATGAACTATTACAAAAAAATTATTTATATTTTTTCAACATGATGACGGGAAAGGGAAAGAGTTAGAGTTTGAGTGGTTTCGTATAGTAATTGAAATCTTATTTCTACTTCGATACGAAATAAGCCAATCCTCTTGAATGCTAGATTTTATATTTATAATTGGCAATATTACTAGATTACTGTCAAGACAAACACATTTACGAAAACAACACGTAGTTTATACGTGTTATCGTTTATGTGAGAACATAGGAAGCTGTAAGCAAGTACTCCCGGACATCTACTACACCCAACGGATACGGTACGTTACCGAAGAGAAGAATGGGTAGTTACCACACTCTCTGACAAAATACATAAGTATAAGATCTTGCATTTTCTACATAAACGCTAACTGACCAGAGTAATATATAAATACTAGTTTAAAGTTACATATATTTAATCCATCGAACTATCAATGCACTTGTGCTAATAAAAGTAATTTGGTTCAATATACTTTAAAATGGTCTACAGATATAAGAGCTTAGTGTCTCTGTATCGAAGTTTATATATTATTTAGCTTGATCATCATCATTACACGGTAGTAGGGCCACGCAGCAGCCTCGACTGGGCAAGCTCATCCGGTAAGTACCACGGTCTTCTGTAAGGTATCACGGTCTTCAGAATACCGGCGTAAAGTGGAAGTATAATACTTTCGCGTTTCGTCTGGTGAGTGAGGAGGCCGGAGCCCAATTTTCAAAAGGTTGTCACCGCATCTGGAACCCTCGGGTGTGGCAGATGTGTGACCATGGGCGGCGGTATTCACTTAATATTAGGTGAACCGTCTGCTCGATTGGCAACTTTTCACATAAGAAAAAAATCCTCCTTCCCTCATCCCACCTAGGTGGGTCGGCACAACATGTAAATCGTGTTGCAAGCGGTTTTGGCTGTATTTTTCACGACCGGCCGCCTGCCTGACGTCAACCATCCTTGGGAAACAAACACCCAGATCAACTCAGACATGGGAACGATTATCTGTGGCTCACACAAATACTTGTCCCGTGTTGGAATCGACACAAGACCTCTGACGCCGAAGCCAATAGCTTTGCAACGGAGCCACCGAGTAGCTTGATATTAAACGAAATAAGCGCTCTGCTTTAATTAAAATTAGAGAAGTTGTGGGGCATTAAAGTTGCCAAGCTCAAACAGATTTACCGTCCAAGGGCAGAGGCTACTTAGTCGGTCGAAAATGAAATTACGGACGCTGTGTGAATGTTTCATAATTTGGTTCATCCAATTTGATACATTTATGGAACCTTTTTTATGGAGAACAGGGGCAAACGAGCAGGAGGCTCACATGATGGTAAGTGATTACCGCCGCCCATGAACCTGTCATAAGTCCTAATTTTACAAACAATAGCTGTTTATTTACAGACAGCAGCAGAATAGTAATAACAAGAGATATAATGCGTTGCTAAAACGCACCGTCATTCTTCTTTTCGTGTCGATGGCATTCGCACGGTATCGGCCCAAAATTCAGCCACATTAATTGCACTGTAGGCAGCATTTATCAGGTCCTCCTGCGTGCAGTTGGTTGGGCACGCAGGAAACGATGTCAAATGCTTCCATGGTTTGGGGAACAGCGCCACATTTGCCCTCCAAGCTGAAACCGTCTGAGAATCCCAACTGAACAGGTTCTCTTTACTTCGGCCGACTTTCGTCCGAAGTCTATTTAATGACTAGTCAGCCAAGGCAACTAATGTCCAGGCGGTGGTTTCTCAGACGGTGGGACAAAGGGGCTAGGGACATTGATACTTTCTTGCCATAGCCTGCATTTCTCCTTCGATCGGTCGTTATCGTGAAGAGGAGACACACTTCATGAAACTTCTGCGGACACCGTCATTTACGTAATAAGACTCAGAAATATGTATTAATATCAAACATCGACTGCCAGTGCCTTTGAGGGATACTGAAACGAGGTTCGTTTGTAAGAAAAATAAAACCTCATAGTTTGAGAAATTCTACATATTACACTTGTCACATTCGTTGTCACAACTGTGGTAATATATGAATATCGATGTTTTTATATTTTAACCTTATAAATGTTTTTAATAAAAACATTTCACTTACAAAGTACCGTAATAATATTCTCTGAAAATGTGGTTAACATTATGTATAGCTATGTATGTAAGGTATAATTGCCTCTTACCGTCTTGTTGAATTGTCAACTTGACATCTTGAGCATAGTTTTACTGCAAAACCATAAAATGGCGAACTCGTTAAGTGTGCGTTCCCGGAGATGGAGTCACATGGACGTTATTTCCAACCAACTTCCTCGAGACATGTTTCCATCGCTTCGTTAACCCTCGTAAATCAGGTTTGCGATATCTCAAAAGGAGCCTTCCGGTAGATCAAGGACGGTTTCATTCTCGTTTTTTTATCTGTGGGAATTTTCACTTCCCGGTTGCTTCAACGGATTGCGAAAGTCGAACCACTTATGCAGTTTGTAGTCGCATTTATTATTAATTACATAATGTTCATACGCTGGCGTTGATTTTTTATTTATGTCTTGCATACCACTTTAAAGGTTTGTTTTAGTGGTTTTTGCGAGTGATAAAGAAAGATTATGGTTCCCAAATTCTGTATTTTTATATATTCTAATGCTGATATTTCATTTTGTAGCAGTAGAAACGTAATTTTATTTAAGTAAATAATATTTCACTTTGTCCATTTCACTCAAGTTATTCATACATATTAAAATAGTCATTTGATGAAATCTATTAAAACAATTATGTTATTTTTAAAATATACAAATTAGAGGCTGATACCTAGATCAGGAACATACAACTGTAGATTAAATTAATAATCGCTCCGTGCCAGTATTGAGTCTACAACATACAATACGCTGTTATATCAATTTTTACAGTGCTAATCTCGGCACTTAAGATTAAACATTAATATCTAATAACTTTGTTTGCATTTGGTTTGAATTAATAGCGTTAGAGTCATTTACTAACGCGGCACTAAACATTCATCAGGGTTTGCAAAACTTTTTTGCAATGGACTACATAAATTTTTAATAGCACATAATGAGCTATTACATTAATAAGAATAGATTACAGATTAGCTATTAATTAAAAAACAGATCACAGATATTTTTCTTATATAACTAATCACTTTTAGCTCCAAACTCGCGTGTCACTTCATTAACAGATATACGAAAAATAAAACATCGCCCCTTTAGGTACTAATTTCTTATTTGTAAATAATTTAAAAGAATTAAGGTCAAACTTTATAACGAGCACAACATTTTAATCGTTTAATTCTGTAATTAAATCATAAAAACTGGACGGTGTGAGTTAAGGTCGAAACAAACCAGACCTCCGGCTGGGTAGATTCGTCTCGCAACATGTCGCGTGCCCCACCCGTTAGTATAGAGCAGTAAATGTTCAGAGGCAAGCGTAATATAAGTATACCAGTTGACCCGTGAGACATCTTCCCACTGTACCACGATCAGTAATCGATTAGTAATTATTATATTTAACGGTGGTAGGACCACGTAACAGTGTTCGCTGTTGCACGAATGGGCAGGACCGTTCGGGTTAGTACCACGGCCTCACAGAAGATCGGTTTGAGGCGTCTGATGCCAAATTTTTAATTATTGGCAGCAACCAATCAGCCACTTATATGTTTTGTAGATGTCTATGGGTGGCGATATTCACTTAACATTGGGCAAGCCGCCTGCTTACTTGGCAACATTTCAAATAAATGGTGAAAATAAAGAAAAATGGTATCTATATCTATTTATATCAATTTAGATAGACTTGATATTTGTTCACAACATTGCTATCGAATAGGAGAGTGTTTTATATTATTTTTTTTCCAAAGTTATGTTAAATGATATTCAAAATTGTTTATATGCAGGAAAGGATATAACAATCGATGCGCTAAGCATTGCTTCAAATGCTAAAAAATAATGTAGATAAAAGACGTTGAGATTTTCGTCGGTGTGGCCATCAGCTGTTTGGCTAATTGGTTAAAGCGTCAGGGCGCGAGTCCAGAAGACGTAATTCTTCCAATGTCAAGTCAGTCATAGGAGTAACAGGACAATGTTTTTTGTAAACGAAAAAGGAAGAAAAATTTTGCAATTTTGTGCAATCCTTCACATTCTACAACAAAAGTCAACAAAATAACAAAAACAAAAATCTATGTATCACCACTA